GGTTCCAGGGGTCTTAGACGGGTCTTCAACGAACTCTGGGGATCGCTTTCATGGTTGTTGGGTCTGGGGGGTAGGTGTCAGGAAGACCCTAAGCTCGAAACCCTCAACCCTGAACCCTGAACCCTAAACCCTAAACCTAGACCCTAAACCGTAAACCCTAAACCCTGAACCCTGAACCCTAAACCCTAAACCCTAAACCCTAAACCCTAAACCCTAAACCCTAAACCCTAAACTTAACTCATGAGAAGTGTAAGCTACGCGAGCGATCCCTGTTTTACTTGCCGGCTGCTCTTATGGACCTGGAGGAAGCGTGCCCTTGGAGCATTCGGGTTTAGGGTTTATAGGGTTGGGGTCGAGGGGCACCTGCCCTAAACCCTAAACCCTAAACCCTAAACCCTAAACCCTAAACCCGAGTTCTCACGTAAAGTGTATGTAAGGCTTAGGGGTTAGAGGGTTTGGGGCTTAGGGGACTCGAGCTTCGAGGGGTTGATGGGTTTAGGGCTTTGACGCGGCTGTAGCTCAAGAGCCAAGAATAAGTCTAGGACTACCCCCACAACTCTAGTGCCCAGATCCTTCCAAAAAAAAATAACTAAGGAATATACCCTAACTCGTGAGTAATGATCATTCGTATCACCGGAGTCCTTATCCGAGGCCCTTGCGTTTGGGCGCACAGCTCGGTCCCTCCCTCCTTCTTCTCCAGCGCCTCGGAACAGGGTGTAGGGTTTAGGGTTTAGGGTTTAGGGTGTAGGGCTTAGGGTTTAGGGTTTAGGGCCAGTTTAGGGTTTCGGGTTTAGGGTTTAGGCTTTCGGGACCTTGAGGTTAAGGGATCTAGGGTGTTAGGGCCAAGCGGGTTAGCGGGCTTAAGGTGTAGGGTTTTAGGGAATATAGGGGACGGAGTTTTTACAGAGCCGTTTGGGGTTGGGGGATTCCCTCATGGTAACAAACGAATAGGACATGTCAAAACGGTTACCCCCCAGTTCTGCTAAGGGAGTCTTGGCTTTAGGGTTCAGGCTGTAAAGTATCCAGGAACCACTCACCTATACCCAAGAGTAACCTAGGAATAAAAAGGGTGCCCTTCTTGGTTGAGAGGGGACGTAAGCCCTAAAGAAGCGGGAATACGGGCCTACTTTGGCTCCTAAATCCGAACATAAGGGAATAATAAGGGTCCACTGACCTAGCCAGGGAAGGGTTTGCGCGGTTTACAGATTTACCTACGAAGCCAATACACACGCATGCGCAGTAAACCTAAGTAGGCGTTGTGGGAGCGGTTCCATCAGCCTGGCCTTAAAATCCCAGTTTCGGGTTCAGGGCTGAAAGGTTTCAGGTTCAGGGCTTAGGGTTTAGGGAGTGTGATGTGTGCCTTTGGTTGCGTTGGCGGGGGCCTGCAAGTGAACGGAATGCTTCGGAGTCCATCGTTTGCGTGCAAGATTTAACCCAGCCGCTAAGAACAACTAACTGGGGTAAGGCCACTCGTATTTCCGGACCCCTCGGAGGATCCAAAAAGTAGATCCCTTGAAGGGTTCCGAAGAATGACCCAATGGTAGTATAGGGTACTACTCCCTAACTAAGGGTCCATGTACCTAATTATTATATACTTGGGCCTTAAAGTACCTCCTATACAGGGACCCAAGTATATAATGATGAGGTACATGGACCCTTAGGGACTTGGGAGTTCTACTTTTTGGGTTTTTTTTTTCCAGGGGTCTGGGTTCTCAAGCCAAGTCGAAGGGGTCATCCGGCGGATTGCCAGATTCGTCTGGTGATCGGCTGCCGTTGTACCCGCGGAGGTATGTCTACCAAAAGCACCCTAGGCCCCTAACCCCGAACCCCAAAACCCTAAACCCTAAACCCTAAACCCCAAAACCTAAATGGATCCCCCACACCGGCACCCTGATCCCCAAGTTCAATTGCCTCTGTTTAGGGTTTAGGGTTTAGGGTTTAGGGTTTAGGGTTTAGGGTTTAGGGTAACCCCAAATCTCGAAGATTTGTTTCATGGGCTCTTAATGTGGTCCCATACCTTCTAGAAAGGGTTCTGAAGCATGTGCCCTTGGGTTGGGTAGGGTTTTTTCAGGGTAGAGAAGGGGTCCCCTTTTGAAGGCCCAAAACCCCAAAGCCTAAACCCTAAACCCTAAGAAAATCCTCACCTCCGAAACCCGATACCCTGAGCGCGCAAGGCCGGGGCCCGCAACTCGTCGGCTATCTGTGCAGGAAAGGCTTCGCAAGGGTTTAGGGTTTAGGGTTTAGGGTTTAGGGTTTAGGGTGATTGGGGTGATTGGGGTCTATAGCTTTTAGGTCTGAACCCTAAACCCTAAACCCCAGAGGAGTTCAGGGGAGGCATCGGGCCAAGGGTACTGAAGGCCGATACAGCTCCCATGCTCTAGAGGACGGCCCTCAAGACCCTCTGGAAGAATGCTCCTAAAACACATCCTCTAAAATGTCCCAAGGGGCTAGGGCCTACGTGGTACTTCGGGTTTTACGGGGTTTTGGTGGCTTTCTGGCTTCGGCCGCCTTGGGGCGTGTCGCGGTACAGCCTCTTATGCAACCCACGGGCCCATACTTCGGAACCACCCAGAAAAACCCTAAACCCTAAACCCTAAACCCGAAACCCGAAACCCTAAACCCTTTCAAGGAGGTACCCCTGAAAAACCTAATAGGGTTTAGGGCTGAGGGCTGTTGAGTCGCGGATTGCTGAGGGGTTCGGGGGGTCAGGGGTTGAAGACCTAGAAGTGGCCTCGGGAAACACAGGGGGACGTCTCAGGGTTTAGGGTTTAGGGTTTAGGGTTTAGGGGCGAGGGCTGAGGGTTGCGACGCAGCCCCTGTTACTGTGAACAGCGACCAAAGGGGCACGACCAACGATTATGCTTGAGGGTCTGGGGCTTCTGGGAACCCAAAACCCTAAACCCCAAACCCTAAACCCGAAACCCTAAACCCCAAACCCTAAACCCTAAGCCCTAAACCCCAAACCCTACACCCCAAACCCCAAACCCTAACAGGGTCAGATCAAGGCACCTGGCTCGGGGCGCCTGCTGTATAACCTGGGCGGAGGGTTCAGGGTTTAGGGTTTAGGGTTTAGGGCTTCGGGCTTCTGTGAAGACTCTGTGCTTGCGGTCCTTTCAATTTGGGCCACGCGGTTGGATTGCGCTACACCCTAACCCCACAAACCCTTAAGCCCGAAACCCTTACACCCTAAACCCTTTAGAGGCCCCGACCCAAAAGTCTGAAGGCAGGATGTCTTGTTGCAGGCGTCCATCACTAGGTTGGTCCTTTAAACCCTCGGCGACATATCTTTGAGACTGAACCCTAAACCCGAAACCCCAAATATCATCGGAAAATCGAGAATGTCCCAATAAGGGCCTGCCTTGATACTATAGTGCCCTTTGAAAGGCTTAGGGTTGGGGATAAGGGTTGAGGGTTTGAAGATTTCAAGGCATAAGCGGCATAAGGGCTTCAGGGTTTGCAGGGTTTACATCGGGTTTACGAAAATGAGGGAGCCCTTATATAGACCCCCAAAAATGGCAGGATTCCCTTGCAGTAAGGGCCCTAATAAGGTACCCCTGATTTCAGAAACCCCCCATATACGGTGAGGGGGATCTGGCACCATCATTGGGGCGTAGGGGTTCATGGTTTCGGGCCGAAGTGTTGAAGGGCTTGAGGGCTTAGGGTACCCGATCCACGAAACCCGGAACTACTATTTCAATACGAACCCCCAAAAAAGGACCTAGGGTTTAGCGCTACTATTGGCTTCCGAACCCCCCCCCCCCCCCCCCGAAAAGTACAAATGTTCTTCGTCATAAGGACAATACATAGGCATGACAGCCCTGTATATTTTGGGGGTTGTTCTACAGCAAGTAGTAGTGCACCCTAAGGGCCAGGCGAAAGACCCTCCCCCCCCCCCCCACCCGGCAGAAGAAAGCACGTCAGCCTCTACACCCGGCGCTCGGGGGCTTAGGGTTCAGGTTTCATTCCCTAACATTCCCTAGGTACCTACCCCACTCGAACCCTCCCCCCTGCCTTACCCTAAACCCAAAACCCCAAACCCCCCTGCAACCCTCCCCCAGACCCCAAGACCCGAGGTCTCCATGCCTTTGAACCCTCAAGCCCCTAAACTTCCTTCCTGAAACCTTCAAACACCCACTTGGTAGCCCAGTAACGATGTTACAATAAGGGCACCCTTTTTGGGGTTGGTTTTCTTTACCAGGGAACCCAGAACCAAAAAAAGGGTAAAGGGTGCCACTGGGCTACCAGTCCTAAGATCCTAAATGGTACGCCCTATAAACCTTAAACCCGATGAAGCCTCAAATTTGAACCCTGGACCTCCAAACCCAAGCACCGTGAGTCTAAATCTTGAAAAATACGGATTTAGGGAACCCTCTTATGCCCCTTGTATACGAAATACAATCTAAGGGCGATATAAGGGCCATACAAAGAAGGTACGGGACCATATTAAGGGACCACGCAGCTTCCCTAAACCCCAAACCCCAAACCCCAAACCCAAAAAACCCTAAACCCTAAACCCTATCCCTAACTCCTTAGCAAGACTGGAGCGCACAGCATGCAGCTCCCGGGCTGCGTTTGCCTTTTTGAGTACGCTCACATGCGCGCTCTCGTTGCCCGTTTGGCCCGTTCGGGGCCTCAACGGCAAGGAATGACAGAGAACGTACCATTTCTGGTTGAGGGAGGACCCTGGCACCTCGGCATTCACCTCAAAGGAAATGATGGTAACCCTTAACCCTCCTACCCTAAGCCCTCTTACGTCGTGGGCGAGACCCTGCGACAAGCCTGGGTCCAGGGGTGTTCAGCATTGCGAAGAAAAATTCTCAAAATCACGACGTTGGGATGTTGTCCGGCTCCTGCAGTTTAGGGTATAAAGTGTAAAGTGCTGAATGCTCGGGGGAGTGTAAACGGAATTTCGGGCGGAGCGGGCGTAGCCTGCTTCAACACCCAAGTATCCTTTTCCTAGCTCCCCTGCATGTGACACCACCAACGCGACAGGGGATTTCTCAGGGGTTGCTTGGGAGGTTTTGCTCGCTGTTGGATTGGACACGACATGTGGCTTGGGGCTTTATCAGCCCTCCCTTCCTGACATGCACGGCGTCAAGGCTGCTCACGCTTGCTTTCAGTAGTGAGGAGCCCGCGAGAGGCGGCAACGAGCTTCGAAAATACCCGCGGCGCGGACTCCACGTCACGCCGGAACCTCAGGGGGCAGGACTCAGACTGGATTATAGGGTTTAGGGTTTAGGGTTTAGGGTTACCAGAGAAACCGATGGTGAATATGGGATGGTTTCCTGAATACGAAAAGTACGTTTGAGCTCCTGGAATTACAGACCCGGTTGCTTTAGGTCGTTTGGGCTTCCGGCTTTTGGGTATCAACTTGCTTCCCCCAGTCGCAAGGACAAAAACTGTGCAAATCCTTCAAGCCTAAGCCCTACTATAACCCTGAAATCCTAAACCCTAAACCCTTACCCCTGAACCCTAAACCCTGAACCCTAAACCCTAAACCCTAAACCCCGAACGAGTCCCAAGAGAGTTCGAACGCTCAAGAGAGTTCGAACGCCCAGATAATGAAGAAGCAACTCAGAGCACCCTAAACCCTAAACCCTGGGGTTTAGGGTTTAGGGTTTAGGGTTTAGGGTTTGGGGTTTGGGGTTTAGGGCTTAGGGTTTAGACCCCACCCTAAGAAACACCCATCGAAAACTGAGTGGAGGTGCAGGCCGAACAGCCCTAATAGTCCAGAAACGGTTTAGGGAATTTGGGGCTTTAGAGGCTTAGGGTTTAGGGTTTAGGGCTTTAGAGGTTTAGGGTTTAGAACTGCGCTCTTGAATGAATATTTCTGGGTCCCTCATAGGTTTGCGCTTAGAGCTTAATGCGGAGGAACTTTAAGTAGGTTGGCCCCGAAAACGCTTTATTAAATCATATTCCTATAACTCACATCTCCCTAAACCTGAGACAGGAGAATCCCAGGTCCTACCTGGTCAAGATTGGACTCGAACAAGCCCTGGAGCCCCCTAAACCCTAAACACTAAACCCCAAACCCTTGACCCTAAACCCTAAACCCCAAACCCTAAACCCAAAATCTTTGAAGCTTGGTCTAGACACCGGTTGAGAGTTCTGAGGTGGCGCTCGTGCAAACGGCGATCTGGCGGTGCAGGAAAGTTCCGGCCGTCCTTTGGTTCCGGGTCTTCGTGAGGCCGTAGCGGATCCAATTTGTCGAAGGAATGGGGTCCCAAAGCGCGTCAGGTACGTGGAAGTTGTCCTACACCAGACCCAAGTATCCTAGTGGGCCCCTACACTCCTCACTCCTCAAGCCTAAGCACTGTGGTGCTGCAAGTCTCTGAACCCTAAACCCTAAACCCCAAACCGAAAGCCGCTTTCGCAGCATCTGGGTGTCCATGGAACCCTGGCAGAACCCGTAAGAGTTTCAATCAACCCAAAACCCGCATCCCGAACACGTTCCTAGACAGGATCAACCCTAAACTCTAAACCCTATACCCTAAACCTTAAACCCTAAACCCTAAACCCTAACGGGCTGGCGCCAGCAAAACTCCCAAGCCCGTAACAGCCCCAAAGCCCCAACAAAACTAGAGCTCGTGGTCTGTGGATGGTTCAGAAGCCCTAGACCCTAAACCCTAAACTCTAAAGCCTCAACCCTAAACCCGAAAACCTACACCAAACTGGCAGTGGCAGTGCTCCTCCTCCTTCCAGTGACGGGAATCCTTACTTCTCCACAAAGCCAAGGAGTTGAAAAAGGTTAAACTTTTTTAGAATTACCACTGAGAAAGCGAAAATACCCTAAACCCTAAACCCTAAACCCTAAACCTTATAAACCCTAAACCCTAAACCCTGAACCTGCTGGGTGGGCAAGAATCCCAAGACGACCAGCTTTCCCGTGCGACGTGGTCTTCCACATCGGCGGTGCCTCGGCTTGACAAAAGGGGTTTAGGGTTTAGGGTTTAGGGTTTAGAGTTTAGGGTTTAGGGCTAGACCCAAGAGTAACCTAGGAATACACAGAAGGTACTGCTTCAAGGGACCAAGAAGGAAACCGAAACTTAAAAAAAGGAATAAGGGTCTACTCTGACCCTACTCTGCGTCCTAGGGTTTAAAACTCCCCCAAACGCCCAAACTGAGCTAGTGGGGTCTTCTTGAGGCAGGGTTTGCCATACCCCGAACCCTCAACCCTAAACAGACCTAAACCCTAAACTCTAAACCCTGCACCCTACTTAAACCCCTAAACTCTAAACGCTAAACCCTGAACCCTAAATGCACCAACCTAGGCCCTAAGCCCCAAACGCGCGACGCAGAGATGGTCGAAGGCTGAGCTGAGGAATGAAGGGCATTCGAGACTCTTGGGGCTCGTTCTAGCCCTAAACCCTAAACCCTGAACCCTGCACCCTAAACCCTACAGTATGATGTCTCTCCATACGGCGCAAAGAGGCTTCATGGGGCTTTTTCAGGGTTTAGGTTTAGGGCTTACAAAGGGGCACTGCGAAATATACTCAAGGCCTTCAGGGGTTCGGTTTCAAGGGACGCTACATCGGACCTCTAAGGGGCTATAAGGGCCCGGCTTTAGGGTTTAGGGTGTCAAGGTTTAGGGTTTAGGGGGTTTAGGGCTGTAGTAAAGATCCCCTAAGAAAAAAAAGGGGCATAATAGGAGTAGATCAAGAAAACCGAACCCTCAACCCTAAACCCAAACCCGAAACCCCACCGGCCTTGTAGTCAAGATATATGCAGCCGAATGGGGTGTTGCTATCAAGAAGTTCCGTCCATTTTTAGTACCTCTAAGAGTTGAATGTTACATGACCGACCCTTCCACCCCCCAGACATGCGACCAGGGCCACTTGCACCCACGGATGCCCAGGTCGCCTCCTTGCGCTGGAACAGCTTCCTGCTCAGGGGTTTGGGTGTTGGGTGGTTCGGGTTTCGGGGCTGTAGAGTTTATAGTGTTTCTAGGGCTTATAGAGTTTCTAGGGAGGGTTCATAGGGTTTGCAGGTTTGAAGGGTGTGTAGGTTAGGGTTTAGGGTTTTGGGGAAATTCGGGTACAGGGATTCAGGGCGTAGGGCTAATCCCTCTGAGGGTCGTTTCATGGCTCTTCGGGTCGTTTCATGGTCCCTTCGTATGGGCCCTTAAAAGGGGACCCTTACGTACCTCTTATATACCCTATACAAATTAAGGGCCCATACTTCAGAACCCTTTAAAGGAGGTAGGGGCCCAGATGAAGGGCCCATGTAAGTTACCCTTAGAATCCCGACAAGGGTTCAGGGCATAGGGTTTGGTTCGCCAGGAGGCGTGGCTTGTACACTGCCCTCAACGCCCTTTTACAGGACGTGAAGGAACTTGCGGCCCACACTCTGCACTGTAAACCCTGGACGCGAAGCCCTAAACCCTAAACCCTAAAGCCTAAACCCTAATCTTGTTGACTCAAAGTCTCAGAGTGCCCAAGCTCCAAGAGCCCAAGAACTGCCGACCCTGGCCTCAGGGGCTTCGGGGCTGTTAGGCATGTGGGGACTGTTCGAGGTTTAGGTTAGGGTTTAGGGTTTAGGGTTTAGGGTTTAGGGTTTAGGGTTTAGGGTTTAGGGTTTAGGGTTTAGGGTTTAGGGTTTAGGGTTTAGGGTTTAGGGTTTAGGGTTTAGGGTTTAGGGTTTAGGTTTTAGGGTTTAGGGTTTAGGGTTTAGGGTTTAGGGTTTAGGGTTTCGGGGTATTTGGGGCACAGGAAGCCCCTCCTGGTGCTAGGAGCAGCTGAGGCAGGAGTCACATCGGCTGGCTGCTGCGGCGGCTTCGCAAGGTCGTGGAAGGGAACCGCTGTGACTTCCGTGACTCCAGGACACCTCGGTGTTTGCATTACCCTAAACCCTAAACCCTAAACCCTAAAGCCTACATCCTAAACCCTAAACCCTAAACCGCTTTGGGCTGCTGAGGAAATCCCTAAACACTAGCGCTAACCCCCTAAACCCAAAACCCAGAACTCGGCCTTGAAACAATAAGCCCGAAGAGTGAGGCAGAGAACCCATCACCAAAAAAGGGTTTGGGGTTTAGGGTTTAGGGTTGAGGGTTCCGGGTTTAGGATGGATACGACTCATCCGAGCGGGCGGGGGTGGGGGAGGAGCAGGAGGGGCGGAAGGGGAGAGGGGTTTTGGAGAATGGTGAAAACTAAACTCAGGAAGCCCTCAAACCCTACGTCCAAACCCGAGACCCTAAGCCCCAAAACCGCCGCAAACCCTATCAAGCCCTAAACCCTAAACCCTAAACCCTGAACCCCCGAACCATAAACCCTCAAGAGCAGGCGAGGCGCCTGAACGACCGTACCGTCGAGGTACTCGCCCCACATCCCATGGCGACCGGCCGGCTACTTGGGTGATTCAGGTAGGGTTTAGGGTTTAGGGTTTAGGGTTTCCCACAAGAGCCCCTACGTAGTTGGTGACTATTTATATCGGGGCCAAGAGGCGTTTTTGTCGTGTACTTATCACTATTTCTACTTATTATATGGGCATTGGGCAACGTAGGGGCAGCCCTCGTGGCCCCGCCAAAATGTCGTACTCCTTATGCTCTAGGGTAGCCCCAGCTTGGGATAGACCCCATATGGGCATCATACGCCGTAAGGCGCAGTTTCAGACTTCGGGATCCAGCTCGGGCCCACTTCTGCACAGGGTTTAGGGTTTAGGGTTTAGGGTTTAGGGTTTAGGGTTTAGGGTTTAGGGTCTGGGGTCGTAAGGTTTAGGGTTTGGGGTTTAGGGCTTAGGGTGTAGGGTTTAGGGCCGATGTTAATAAACCAAGTTGAACTCCACTGGCACTGCAGGGTTCCGAGGGTTACGGGTCAATGAGGCTTTAGGGTCCTGGGTGCACCCCAAACCCTAAACCCTAAACCCTAAACCCTCTGCCACTACCGGCATCGCTCCCTTTCGCTACCGATGTCGATGGCACCCTGCAATTTCCAAAAACCCCTTATCCCCCTAATTGCCTAAATTCCTAAACCCCCATTCCCAAACCCTAAACCCCTAAACCCCTAAACCCCTAAACCGTCCACCCCTAAACCGTACGACCCTTAACCCGACCGACCCTAGAATGTGATTTGAGGGGCACCGGGTTCTCAGGGTAGTACATGGTCCCTTAGTATGGGCGGAACCTTGTGTACCCTTACAACAAACCGCGTATTCAAAATATATACTCGTAGCACGCAAGGGCCGTACTTCGGAACCCTTCAAAGAAGGTAAGGGACCAGAAGAAGGGACCATGTCACTTCAATCCTAATCCCCAAGCCCTGAACCCTAAACCCTAAACCCCTGAACCCTAAACCCCTGAACCCTAAACCCTGAACCCTAAACCCTGAACCCTAAACCCTGAACCCTAAACCCTGAACCCTAAATAACAAATAACCCTAAACCCTAAACCCCAAACCCCAAACCCCAAACCCTAAACCCCTCGGGCCACGGCTGCGCGTCTGCCGCCGCACCACGTCGCCACCCGAGGCCGCCGAGGCCGCGAGGCTCCGGCTCCGCTCCAGGGTGGCCTCCTTGGGCTTGTCCTGAGGATTAGGGTTTAGGGTTTAGGGTTTGGGGCTTGGGGTTTAGGGTTTAGGTTGGTTGGTTGGTTCGAAGTCCCGGTAGGACAGGCTTGTGGGCTCAAGCCAGATGCGTAAGCTTGCAGGAGCCCAAAGTGTGAGGCCAGCATGCCAGCACCGCAGTGTCTGGACGTAGCACCCCCAAACCGCAAACCCTAAACCCTAAACCCTAAACCCCAAACCCTAAACCCCAAACCCAAAGGTGCCCTTGACCCAAGAAGACCATCCTGTCCCCTAAACTCTGAAAACCCCCAAGATAGCCAAGAGACACCGAAAACCGCCGCAAACCCTAACCGTTGATTGGGTTTAGGGTTTAGGGGTTTAGGGGTTTAGGGGTTTAGGGGTTTAGGGGTTTAGGGGTTTAGGGCTTTAGGGGTTTAGGGGTTTAGGGGTTTAGGGTTTAGGGTTTAGGGAAGAATTTCTAGGGGTTCTACCTTGAACCCTTAAGGCTGTACCCTGGTTAAAGATCCTTCAGGTAGTAGAAGGGCCATATTAGGGCTAATTATTAGGGGTATATAAGGGGAAGCTAGGATTAGGGTTTAGGGTTTCAGGGGCGCAACCTTCGGGGTAAGAGTCTTCATCCCTGCGAAAACCCCAAGCCCTAAGCCCTGAAATAGGGTTTGGCTCGGGATGCGGCTGTTGGGTTTCAGGGCTTAGGGTAGTTTAGGGTTTAGGGTTTAGGGTTTAGGATTTAGGGTTTAGGGTTTAGGGTTTAGGGTAGAGGCTGAGCCCTAGAGGCTCCGGCACCCTGAAAAGTCCCTGAAACCCTAGGCCTGAAAACCCTCAAACCCTCAACGCTTGAAAGTCCCTAAGCCCCATAGAAGCCCCTAAAGCCCTGCAAACAAAACCCTAAAGCTCTATATAACAATCCTAAAGCCCTACAAAAGCCCCAAAACCCTGAGCCCCAAAAACCCTTAAAAAAAACTCCAAACCCTCAAGCCCACAACCCCATAGACTTACTTCTCCAGTAGCCAAAGAAAAAATGTTAAACTTGACTATTCTACAAGATAAGGAAACGCAAAAAAGTGGCAGTTCAGCTATTGGGCGAAGTATCATGGGTTTCCCTACACCCCCCGCCCCTCTTTCCTACCCCCTAGGTTCCCTCCTTAAAAAATAGCCTTCATTATGGGGGGGGGGGGGGGGGCACCTAGGATAGTATAGAGGGACGTAGCCCTAAACCTTCAAACCCTAAACCCTTATGAAAGTACAAACCCTAAACCCTGAACCCTGCAAGTATAGAGGGGGGGGTAGCCCTACGTAAACCTTAAACCCTAAACCCTAAAAGTACAAACCCTAAACCCTAAACCCTACAAGGATAGAGGCGGGTAGTAGGGGAACGCATGGAAGAAGAAGGGAGCCCAAAGAGCCCAATATTGCTTAATTAAGGAATATTCCTTAAATCATATTAAGGATCCCTATGTGATTTAAGGAATATTCCTTAATTAAGCAATATTGGGCTCTTTGGGAGAGGCCCGGGCCTGCACCAGGTGCTCCCGTGCCCGCACGATGGAGCTCGTCTGGTCGCCGAGGTGCACCAGACGCCGGGCGGCATATTTGCAGGCCTGCCACCGGAGGCTTTGGGGTTTAGGGTTTAGGGCTTAGGGTTTAGGGTTTAGGGCTTAGGGCTTAGGGCTTAGGGTTTAGGGTTTAGGGTTTAGGGTTTAGGGTTTAGGGTGTAGGGTTCAGGGCCTAGGGCTTAGGGTTCAGCAAGGGAAGCTACATGGTCCCTTGATATGGTCCCTGAAGTACATATGGGCCTCTGGTTTGGGTATTAGGGTTTAAGGTTTAGGGTTTAAAGGGTTTTGGGTTTAGGGGTTTCGGGTATTAGGGTTTAATTAGGGTCTTTAGGGTTTTGAGGTTTCAGGGTTTAGGGGTTACCGGCTGGCTAGTGCATGGGGGTTAAGAGGCTTGAGGGGACCGGTTCAGGGTCTTTAGGGCCCTTATGGTTTCGAGGTTTTGGGTGCCAGAGCTTGGAGGCTTCAGGGATTCAGCTGTTGCGGCGCAGAGTTCAGGCAGACGTAAAAGGATGTTCCCCAAATACAGACCCCTTTCTCACCCCCAAATAGGAATCCTCAGTAGGACCCCCCCCCCCCCTCCCCACCCCGCAGCCGACCCCCCAACAACAAAAAAGAGACTACCCCGGAATACCCGAAACCTGTAAGAAACCCTCAAAAGCCCCCGGACCTAAACCCTCTGAATCAAGACCCTCAAAAAAACCTAAACCCCGAGCCTCAGGCAGGAGCTTCTTAAACACGTGCTCCCGCGCACTCCGCTCGGCGCGCCCTGCGAAAACGGTGCGTAGCCGGGTTTATGGTTTAGGGTCTAAACCCTAAACCCTAAACCCTAAGCCCTACGCGGGGCTGCTGCGTCTGGGAATCAAGCAGCAGCCTGGCTTCAAGGCGTAGTCTCGGCTAGGTAGGCGCATTCAGGAATAGAGGCTTAAACAGCCTAACCCCTGCTACTTAGGGTTTAGGGTTTAGGGTTTAGGGTTTAGGGTTACACAACAATATTTGGGGGGGAAACCTAACTATGTTTGAATTAGAGTTGTGGACTTCCGGGTTATGGTTGCCCCAAGCCCCACAACCACCTGGCGACATGCAAGCTGGCTGGCTTCCATTTGGGTGCTTGTATTAGGGCTTAGGGTTTAGGGTTTAGGGATTAGGGTTTAGGGTTTAGGGTTTAATAATGATGCAAACAAGCTGGGGTTGGGGGGGCCACTTCCCCCATTTGCTGACAGGATTGAAAAGTATGGGTTTTGAAGCCAGTTCTCTTTTAGTGGCATGATGTTCCTTAATCCCTCCCCCCCAACAAAAAACACCAAACTGCTCTGTTGACAGCCCTTAACCCTAAACCTGCAGTTTGGACCGTGCAACATACACCCTACACCCTTAACCCTGAACCCTAAACCCGACTCTGTATCAGTGGCCTCGTTGCGAGACAGCGTCCAGGCCAGCAAACTCGGGTTCCAGCTCCTTGGCGATGTCCTGCGGATAGGGTTCAGGGTTTGTTTGGGGTTTAGGCTTTAAGCTTTAGGGTTTAGGGTTTGGGGTTCGGGTTTAGGTTTAAGGGTTTAGGGTTTGGGGATGTTTGGTGTTTGGGGCTTGGGGTTTGGGGTTTGGGGTTTAGGTAGGGTTTGGGGTTTAGGGTTTAGGGTTTGGGGTTTAGGGTTTGGGGTTTTGGGTTTAGGGTTTGGGGTTTGGGGTTTAGGGTTCAGGGTCTGGGGTCTGGGGTTTGGGGTTCAGGGTTTAGGGAAGGACCAGGAATACCCCAGAGGCCCCCGCATTGTCCTAGAAGAGCCCCTGGGGCTCCAACTGCGGTCTCGTGACCTCAAACCCTAAAACCAAAGAAGCCCTCGTCCGACACAACCTAGGGTTTAGGGTTTAGGGTTTAGGTGGAAGAACAGCCGGAAAACTGCTGTAACCCAAATCCAAAAGTCCCGAAACCCTAAACCCTTGAACCCTACTCCCCTGGATTTCCAATCCCTTCTTCATGGCGTCTAGCTAATCTGTTGTAAAAGAGAATGGAAACCCTAAACCCGAAACCCTAAACCCTAAACCCTAAACCCTAGGCCCTAGGCCCTAGGCCCTCAGCCATGGCCTCTCAACCCTAAACCCTCTAAACCCGATAATCCCGTTTGAACCTATAAACCCAGGGTTTAGGGTTTAGGGTTTAGGGTTTAGGGTTAAGGGTTTAGGGTTTAGGGTTTGGGGTTTAGGGTTTAGGGTTTAGGGTTTAACAAACCCAGGGTTTGTAAACCCTACGCAACCTCTAAATC